CAGTATTTTCATTTTATAGATGAATCTGGATCTCAAAGAAATCAAGTGATCCACTTCACACCCCAGAGTCAGAACACTAGAACTCAAGTCTTTCAACTCCCAGGGCTGTGCCAAGACTGGACACACTTAGGGGAAGGATGAAAAATAGAAAACACAAAGCAAAGAGAGCACTCCATGGCTCCTCAGTCAGGAACACTTTTCTTATTACCTTCTGGGAGTGCGACCAGTTGGAAAGAGAGTACAGGTAATGAAGCAAAAGTAAGAGGATTGCTCCTGCCAAGATCACAGCTTGAGAGAATGTAGAGCAAATGAGAAGCCCTAGCCAGCTAAACCCAGGACTGAGGAACAGGGTTCAGAGACCATTCCCTAATCCCAGACCTCAGCCAGTGGATAGCACATGTTGAGATTCCAACACACACACACAAGATTGGATTCTTGATGTTAAGCACGTGCAAGCTCTCCCCTCAAGATGCACTCGGGTCAGCATGCCAGATCTCTGCAGAATCAATCCGAGAATAAGTCCATGACTCACCCAAATGTGAACCCTCCCAGGTATAGGATTCAGGGGGGTTTGTAATTTTGGACCATGTATGCAATGCCCTGAGCCTATATGTCCACTACATAAAGTGAGACAGCGGGACTGTGTGGTCTGAAAACAACCTTCCTGCATCACCATCCCAGGATTGTCTCGCCAAGTGAGATACGCAAGACTGGATTTACCATTCAGATAGTGGCTCTTTGAATCTGTAGGTCAAGTTCTTTGCTTCCTTCCCCCAACTTCTCCTGCAAACTAAAAATAGTTTGCAGACTGAATGTACCTAGACAACGACATTAACTGTACAATCGGAAAGGTGGTAGGTTAATGCAGAGGCTGCCGGGGGCCAGCATGGACACAGGAAATACCGTATTATGGATACTTTAATGTCACAGACCCCCCTCAAGCCCAGGAAGGGACATCGCATTCCAGGCAGCAGGGAAGAGCTCTCACTCCTCAACAGGACCCCCCAGATGCCAGCAGATGCCACCTCACCCCACCCTCCTCAGTCACGCGACCATCTCCTTCTCCCAGGGAGGCTGGGAACTGTTGCCTTTGTTCTTGCAACCTCACATCTAGCCAAAAAGGATGCTATGAAGGAAGAAGACAGAACCAATATTCAGTGACAAGCCACAACAGGAGTTTTGATCTTGCACTGGAGCGGATGGTGAGTCATTGAAGAACTTTGAGGAGGGGAGAGACAGATCTGGTCGCATACTGGAGCAATCCTCAGGATGCTGTGTGGAGAGAAAAAACTGGAAGGCAGAGAGTGGAGCAGTGTGGGCCAAGACCGTACAGGCAGCCGTGGCTGGGGCAGTGGGCTGCAGAGAGGGGAGGTGCCAGCAAGGCAGAAGTGAAGGGCATGGTGGTTGCCTGGAAGAGACAGTGGGCTTGAGAGGGCGTCCCGAATCCAAGCTCTGACTTTGGACAGTGTGCTCAAAAAGAGTGTCAAATATATTTGCAAAACAACTGAGCAGGTCTTCTGAAGGATTAAACAGAGGAATATTTGCTAAGTACCAGAATCTTAGATCAGTGCCCGCTACTCAGGAGGGACTGTAAAATCTCTACAGGAAAAGCCCTAGGTTAACAGTGTTTCCCACCAGCAAGGTGTTTCCCCTCCCCCAAGCCTCCCTCCTTTAGCTACAACTCTGAAGGGTCAGTGTCCTGGCCCTGATCGTGTGTGGGGCTGCCTGCACTGGGTCAACACAAGTAAAGAGTGACCCAGACTGACCTCAGTTTCTTCAGCAGTTCACAAAGACCCGCCAGGCCCACCTAGGACAAGCCAGGATTAACCCGTATCTGCAGAGCGCTGCCTGTGATGTGGGAGATGGCCACCAAGAGCTTTGCTCGGTGACCCAAGGAGTGCAGGACCGTGTCACCTGAATACAGATTGGAGGGATTAAGGATGGATTCTTCATCTCCAAAGCCAGTCAATTCGGCCGTATTTAGAATAAACAATTAAGAAACAAAAAAATGGGGAACATCAGTTCTTTCTGTGCTTCTATTTTTCACACTTTTTCTATTGTGAATGTACGTTTTTTAATAAGAGGAAAAATAATGTGCATTTTTTTAATAAGAGGAAAAATAACATTTAAACACACAAAAACACAAAGCAGCCCCCAATGTTGGCCCTGATGATCCCTAGGGTCAAGGCCAGAGAGGAAGTTTACCCGTTCCTGTCAAAAACAAGCCTCACCCCCACCGCTGTCACCTGCCACCAGCTAAGTCCTGCTGTTGACTTGGGCAAGCTCCCTGCGCGCTAGGGGTCCGCTGTGGCCCTGCCTCGCCCCGCGATTGAAAACTCGGTTAATGTCATCAAACAATATTTAGGTGCCTTCTCGTGCCTCTCGAGCAGAGGATACAAGGATGACTAAGCCTTGGTCTGCAGCCTGGAGGTGCTCACATGGAGAGACCTATTAGGACTGGCCTGCTCTGGCCCTAGGAATCTGGCCGGAGCTGAATGTTCGCGCTCCTTTGGCAGATGGAGATGGGTCTGGGCCAGAAGGCAGCCCCTGCGGAGACCGAGCTGAGACAGGAGTGCGGCTATGTCACCACCACCACCTCCTGGGAGAAATCACACGAGCGATGAACCGTGTCCTGTTCCTGCCTTGAGGACGAAGACCCCCAAATCTGGGCCTGGAGCTAGAGCCCCCTCTTCTTCCCACTGCGGGATTCAGGAAGACCCGCCCCCTCCAACCCTCTGCTTCATTGTGAATAGAGACACTCGGCTGCCCTGCAAGACCCGAGCTGCGCGGGTATGTTCGCTAGCGCGCCCCCTCCAGGACGCTGGGGAGAATGCAGTCCTCACAGTCCCGCCCCGTCGCCCCTAAGCTTTGGCGGGGCTGGTCTAGTCCTTTCCCAAGCAGTCACCCTTGCAAGGTTGCCCAGCTTCTAACTGGAGTGTATTGTGAGGGTCAGACAGGGAGGTGGGGCCTTCCGCATCAGCCTAGAAACTGAGCTGCTCAGAACCTGATCCAGTGTGTTGTTTTTTACCAGCCCACACTGATTAAAGCCTGAATCACCTAAAACCCAAGAATAACACATGTTCACAGGACTCCCAAGCAGCTCTCCCGTCCAGGGCACTCTCCTCCCTGAAGCCCCTTAAAGCCAACCTCAACAGGCAGGAGGCACCACTACCCAGGGGCCAGGAGCCGGGCCCTCACTGCGCAGACAGCGGACACTCTGGAAAGTCTCAGAGCATCAATATTTCATGCTGCTGGAGCTGTCTTTGTTTTTATGCAAATTGCTTGAGCTGCCAGATGGGCAAGGCCTGGCAGCCTCATCCATCAGCAGCCTGTCCCTCCTCAGCCACCCTGCTGGCCGCCAGGGCCCCGCAGGGTGGCCTCAGCTTTGGCTGTCCTCTCACTGCCCTGCGCAGGAGGCCACAGCCCTCCCCTGAGCACTGAGGGCCACGGAGGACGCCAGAGACCAGGACTCTGCGCGGGAGGACGCACAGATGGAGAGACTCTGTGATACCATGGGAGGCAACGTGTCCCTCGGACCATGCTGTGTTGTTTCATTTTAAGCCACAAACAACCCATGAGGTGGGCACGTGGCCTTCAGGAGGAAAGTGTGTGTCTGGTGGACTATAGTGGAAGACAATGGTGGCCTGGTGATGCTCCTCCTCCTCCCTTTGACTCTCCCCCTCCTCCACCCCAGCCTAAGGGCTCCCTCCGCTCTGATCCCACATACTTCTGTTGTGTCCCCATTTACCTCAAAGCTGCATAGGGACCATTTGTTGAGAACCTAGCAGAAATCGGCTCAGAGCTAGGTGTCTGCATACAATATTCACCCAGGCCGTCAGCACCCTGAGAGATGGCTCTTGCTAGTTCCATTACAGTCAGTCATTCGACACTGTTCTGCTTTCTGTCCTCCTCCCTCCACTACTGCTCTATCTTCTGCACTGAACACAGCACTAGAATGTGAGTTTGGGGCATGCTTAGAATCCTGTGCTTATACAGAGAGCTGCTTGCGCCGCTCAAGCACTGAGATGCAGCAGGTGCAAGACACAGAATCGTGAGTCTGTCCCATGCTGGTCCCTGACCTGCAGGAAATGGCTCCTTCATCTCTTCCGCCCTTTGACTCACACTCCGTCTTCAGGTGCTCTCTCCCTCTCTGCTAAGTCTAGCCCCAGAGTCTACACTTGGGGTGACTGAGGCTCCCTTGAGATGCACACAGACTTGCGCATCCCTTTGCCCCAGAAACTGGAGCAGGCAGCTTAGGTCAGAAGGGCAAGCCCGGGCTGAAGCCTGAGAGTCTGTAGGCTCTGATAGTGGGGTTCTATTTCCATGGCCGAGTGTCCAGTTGTTCAGGCAGTAGCTGGGGCCCCTGGTCCTGCTCGCGGCTGTCAGTGGTAATAGAATCAGAGGTCAAGGTGGAGAGCAAGAAGATCAGGTTCTTAGGCCAGGACAGGAGTGGACTGTGTCGGCTGGCCATACACTGGGGAGCAGGGCCAGTTACTGGGGAGCTCCGACCTCAACAATGCAGCTTTGGAAAGAGTAATGATGTGAGCCTGTGGGTGTGAGATTGTGTTCAGGGAGCTGGAGACGCCCCAGGAGCTGGGAATGAAGGGGCCCGGCAAGCACGCTCAGAACGCCCAGCCCCAATTCAAGCAGAGAGGATTTGCTTTTATCTGCTTTATACATTGAAATTTCATGCAAATTGTCCTTTGAAGTAAAAAGGTTGTGCTGCTGGTAAGGAGGAGGAATAAACTTCCCTTGGATTGTAAGTGCCCTGGGTCAGGACCCTGTCACCTAGCCTGGGGTCCAGCAGAGCAATGAGCCCAGTTGCTGAAAAAACCCATCCAGCTCTGCAGCCCATACAGCCCATTACGCAGACCCTCTTCCCGGTCACGCCACATGCCAGTCTTTAAAGATCCTCTCTCTGGAACTCTGGGATGTGCACCAAGGCACTGACAGATTCCCTTCCCTGCATGTCTTCTTCTTGGGCTCGCTCACATCCTCAGGAGGGAGAGATCCTTCAACACCCCACACCCACCTGCCTTCCTGCGCCTGTGTACACCTGTGCATAGAGGTCAAGTCTGCACACCTGGATTCTCATTTCGGCTCTGCCATCACGGGAGCTACAGAGCCTTGAGCAAGCAAACCCGCTGGTGACTCGGTTACTCCAGGGAGGTAAGAATGTCCCCACTACTCCTGCAGGGGAATCAAAGAAGACAGCACACCCTGTGCGCGAGAACCTGTAAGCGCCATGACACATGATTGCTGTAAATACTGCCAGTGTCTGGTAGGTTTTTGTGACCAATTCCACGCTCCATCTCCTACACCTTTTCCCAACTATGACTTTTGCATATGACTTTTTTTTGCTATGACTTTTCACAGCTCAAGTAGCCTGCCTTCGAGTACATTTGCATAGGCTTCTCAACTGGCTCTTTGGAGATAAATGACATGTTTCTGGGAGCAGAGGAGAACAGCAATGTGGGAAGAGAAAAGAAACTTAAAAAAGGAGTTTAGGGCCCTCCCTGGTGGTGCAGCAGGATGAAGCACACAACTAAGAAGCTAAAGCTACTTCAGCATGAGCTCGATCCCCGCCCCCCAAGGTGACCCACATGGCACTGCAGACCTCTCCTGACCCACCCGCTGCTCCCCTCAGCAGTGTGCTTCGTCAGTCGGCCTGTTCTGCTCCTCACTCTGTCTCTGGTGAGTCCTCTCACTGCCCCTGTGCCTCTGGCTTGTGTATACACACACACACACACACACACACACATTTATATATATATAGTCAGGCACTTAACAATGGGGATAAGTTCTAGGAACGTCTAGGTGACTTCGTCGTATAATTACCTAAGCCTGGGCGGTCTGGTCTCGGGGACCCGGGGACCACCCACTGTAGCCTAGCGAGACCACCGTCACAGGTGTTTGGTCACACGATTCGCGTAGCCATAGTTTCCAAACAGTCGGGAGGGTCTTGTTTATGGCACCCATAGAAAGCCGGCTTCGCACGCAGGGTCTATGGCACGTATTTGCAAGCTGTGATCCCGTCACTGCACTGTGCCTCAGGCCGCCTTGCACGGGGCGGGGGACACTCTGAGGTATGGGCTGGAGGCATCTTCCCAAAGATGGCAAAGTGCAGGGCTGCAGCAGGCAGGGGAGTCACCCCCTCCTCTCTCAGGGCCCCTCCCTCTCTCACTCCCTAGCCCTCCCTCTCCCCGCCGCTCCCCAAGCTCCTGCTCCCCACCTGCACAGGACTATCAGAGACTGCTCAGAAGCCCCATCCTAGTTTGGAGAGAAGGGGCGGCCTGGAGGAGAGCTGAAGCCGCCTCTCCCCCAGCAGACCCAAGCCCCTTCCCAAGGAGTCTCCCTGAAGCAGGCTCGGTCCAGGGCACCCTGCTCTCTAGGCAGTGGAGTAAATAACAGCATTCTGACTCCTGTGCCCTCTGGGTTTCCAGCCTCTCATCTACTCCTCACAAGACGAGGCAGACTGAGTCATTCAGGGCCAGGCGGGCATCCTTATTAACGGGCTATCAGCTTTGGTGACAAAGCCCTCCATGTTGGCCCTGTGGCCCTCTCTGTTTGCTGATCTGCGCGGCCTGGGTCATTCGCAGCCGGCCACAAGCACCGCCCCATCTGAAGCTCAGGCCTGGAATCCAGGAATTGTTCAGGTGACCACCAAGGTGGAGGCCACAGGACAGGGACCAAAGCACCAGGCTGCCTGACCGTCAGAAAATGAGCCAGTCCCCAGTGAGTCAATGAGGAAAGGCAACAGGTCCGAATACCCACGACGGGGGAAAAAGGGGTGTGTCCAGGATCCCTGAAAGCAAAAGCCCTAATTTCTATAGGCCATTTTGCCACACTAGGCATTGCTGTATTTTATGGAGAGAGGTATGTAAAAGATATAGGATATGTATCAAGTATATAATGGTGTGTATATAACACAACAATGCCTGGCACAGTGAAATATATATACAAAACGTTTGTCATATATATATCAAATATCTAGTAACATACGTGTGTGTATACATATGTCGACATAGATATACACACGCACATACACATTATCCGTTAACTTCACAGCAACACTGTGACAGATGTGCTATTATTCTCATCCCCATTTTATATATGAAGAAATAGAGGCTCAGAGAGGTTAGGTCATTTTCTCAAGGTCACACAGCGAACAACCTGGATTTGGACACAGGCTGTTGGCCCCAGAGACTGTTCTGAACCACTGTGCTGTTTGCCCTCAGAGAGATTAAGGGATACGTTAAAGGCAACCAGGCAGTGCAGTAAAACTCAGCACCAAGTCTTCTAACACCGAAGCGGTGTTTTTCTATGGGATGTGAGAGCAGAGAGCAGAGGCAGTTCCCTTTCACCCTCCGGGCGTCCTGTGGCGGCAAAAGGAAGGTGCACTCCCCAACATTAGCTCTTTTCAGATCCGAGCCTTCAGGGGATCCGGCTGGTCAGGCCGAAGTTCTGCCCCCAGGCCCATGGTGCCTCTGAAGCTGAACCCTACCTGGCCCTTCTCCTGGGCTGGTGGGGGGAGGTCCAGGCGAAGTCTAGAGCCCCTCAATGCCGGGGCTAGTCACTGAAGAGCCTGGTAAATCCAGGCCCGACTGCTCACCCTTGGATGGGTCAGACTTCCTCTACGCTGGGGTTAAGGATGGGGGGACCCGAGCCCACCACCACCCCTTCTGTGCCTACTTGCAGTCACCCACTTCTCGGAAATGTCCTGCGTCAATGGCTAATTCAGCCGAGATCAGCATCTTCCCTGACCTTCAGCCAGGATCACAAAGGCCAAGGACCACCCTTCCCTGATTCACCCTGTCTCTGTTTGCCCTTGCCCTGTACCCTGCCCACCAGCCCTGGCCAGTGAGAGCCTCTCTCGAGCCTCCTCCAGAGACAGGGCCGAGATCCTATTTCACAGAAGGGTAGGATTTCTGGATCCCAGATCCCACTGGGCAGGTCCTTCCTGCCACTCACTGCTCCTGTGTGCTCCGAGACCAGCAAGCCCTCAGCAGGTGGCTGACCTGGCTGGAGACCCAAGGCTCCCGCAGAGAGACAGATGCTCCCTCACCTCCGCTGATCTGCCGGTGAGTTCTGAGCGGTACTTTCTCTTCTGATTCGCACTTCAGCCTCTGTAACTGGATCTCAGTCATCATAGCAAGGGCCCCCAAGTCCCATGAGTTCCTGAAGCATTCTGGGGAAATTCAATTGCATGCAAAGCCACAAACCAGAGCCATCCAGACTGGCTCAGTTCCTAGCATGCTCTTAGGGAGACACAGTCTTTGGGTCTACACGCCTGCCTTGTTTAGCTCAGAACCGTCCAAGGACTCCAGTTTCAGCCCGCCTGCTAAGTCTGGGCCTTCTAAGTTTGAGCCTTGTGTTTGCAGTAGAAGAAAGCACAGATCCCCACTACTAGGCCCATTGCTGCTCTAGAAATTCTGGAGCTCAACAGCCCACAGAAGAGCCATAGAAGAACAACCCCAGAAGCCAGAGGCAGAGAACGGCCGCCAGGAGAACAGACGATGGCCTCCATCGCTGCACCTGTCATGTGCTGGGTGCTTTCACGTGGGGACCTTTCCTCGCCACTCCCTTGTGAGGCAGGTGCCAGCAGGGTCACCTTGATCACACGGTCAGTGGCCATACTGGGATGGAGACATGCAGCCCTCTGCCCCAGGGCCCATGCGCCTAACTAGGCTGGAGAGCCTGCCTCGGGCTCTTTGGGCACTGGCCACCACCCCAGCCCACGTGCCGCCCGTCTTCGCTCTCTCCACCGGGTTCAGGGCTCCCACCCGGCATGCTCTGGGCTTCAAGCTCTGTGTAGCCCTTGGATGCCTCCGAGGCTGCCATTGCCACCCGGTGCCATCTGCTCGGGAAGGCTGGCAGAGCTGGGCCCGAGGCCACGCCCACGAGTCTTACCGAAGACGCTCTGTGATTCCTCAGTTGGGAGAAACGCAGGCACTCAGAGGGGGGCAGGTGACACAATCCCGACACTGGTGGGGCAAAGGGGTCAGCCTCTGGCCTCCTGGGTTCTATCGGTGGTGCAGGCAAAGGCTGGGGGTGAGGAGAAAGCGAGGCTTGGACTAAGGTGAGGCGAGACCTAGCGTGAGAACTACCCCAAGGGGAGAATCTGCCAGGTCCCAGGCCTGGCTGGAGAGAAGCCAGCCAGGAGGCGGTTGAGTCCCAGGCCGGAGGAAAGGGCATTGTGCAGGGAGACAGCTAGAGGGGACTGGGGACTGTGGCCTGCAGGAAAACAACGTCCTCTCCTGTCCACCATTAGCAGCGCCCCGCTCTGCTTCCAGCCACTGGTTCCCTGTCCACCATTCACTCATTCTACAAGAGGCAGCATGAGCCCACACTGTGCCAGGCCCGCCTGCCTGCCAATCTCCAGGCCACCCGCTGCTGCCGTGTGTCTGGGCTCTGCGAGCCTGTCCCTGGGGCTTGGGCCTGCACCCAGTGCTCACAGTTGTCCCTGGGTGGATGAGCTCTCAACCGCCCCCTGACCCAGGAATGGCCACTGTCTCCTCACAGGGTGAGTAGGAAATGGCTGTGGTTGCTAAGCAACTCCAGGCAAGCCATGGGAAAGGCAGGGGATGGGCTCAGGACAGATGCTCAGTGGAGCTCTGTGACCTACAGGTGGGCGCCAGAAGAACATCTGTGCAACATCTGTGCTGGGAGAGGCACAGGCAGCCCCAGAGAGCCAGCCTGCAGGAAGTGCCCCCCAGCACCACAAAGCCACGCATGGCAAGTGTGAAGAGCTCAAGCGCAGGGAGGCTGTGGGGACCCCTGTGCTCCACACAAGGAGACCTGGGAAGGCGTCAGGACAGGCAGTGACAGCGCCTCCCACCTCGCAATGCCCACTGTGTGCCAAGAGCATTATTTACAGCATGTAGCCCCTCCTCCCCGACCCTGAGAGAAGGAATGATAACACCCATCTGGCGGGGAGGAAATACACTCACAGAGCTGCTGGTTTGTCCAGCGAGCCCGTCTCTGACTCTGGGGGACAGGAGTGAGCAAAGGTCAGAGGCCGGGGGAGCGGATGATGCCCTGGGGATGATGAAGGGACAGGTCTCACGCACAGCGGTGCCGAGGGACCTGCAGACAGCAATGCCCCGAGCCGCTAAGACATAGATCCAAGGATGTTGTGCTAAACCCCGTGTAGGTGCATCTCAGGAAAGCAGGAGCGCCTGTCAGCTCTCCTCGGGGAAAGCTTCCCTTCGGGTAGAGCTGGAAGGAAGCTTGCAAGTGCAGAACCCACACCAGGAGAGCCTGCGTGATGGCACACGAATGTTCGCAGGGCAGCAGCAGGCACCACACGAGACCTGAAGCATGTCCCCTTCGGCTCTGCCATGGGCAGACGAGACGCTGCCAGACTCAGAACCCCGCGCTCTGCAAGCCGTCCTGACCCTGAATACCCCACCCCACACTCCATCACTGCCTCCTGCACCCTCAGCACCAGCCCTGGGGGCCGGGGGTAGTGTGGAGGAAGCAGAACCCAGCCCGGGGCAGAAGCAACTCCCGTCTTGGCTTCTGTACAGTGGTCATCGCCAGACTTATTTAAAGCCATGAAGCCACTCTAGAGGAGCTGTTATTTCTCAATACGGCTGCGGCTTCTCTCCTGCCAAAAGCAAGCTGAGGGGGCCAGCCCGCCAGGGTCAGGGCTGCGTGGCATCCTGCACACCTCTAAGAGGGCAGCTCCCTGCTGTCCCATTCCGAGGCATGGGGCTTGCTGGGTGGCCCCGACTCCCAGGTGCATTCCCTCTTTCTAAACCACTTGCTGGAGTCCTGCAGCATGAGCTGGCAGGGTGCTGGTACTCCGGAGAGGGCCACATCACAGTAACCCTCTATCCATGTGCCCACACAGTTTACAGAGTATCCCCATAAATGCACACACATGCAATACACATATAGGCATATAGACACTCATGTGTGCATACATGAGCACACACGTGCAGATCCTTAAACACATGTGGGCGTGTGTGTTCATGCATGATGTGTGTGGTCACTCATGTGTGTGCTCACGTGTGTACATGTGCTGTTGCACATGTGTGGGGCAGTACAAGCTGGCATGCACACTCTCCTACACATATATACAAGCACCCACACGCACACCCTGTAGCATCCTAAAATCATTCCCTATAAACACCGTGGGCTCGGCCCAGCGCTGCCTTCTAACGCTCCTGTTGGGTGCCAGGGTTGGCAAAACAATAACATTACAGCTTAGCCAGCTCATCAGCAGACATACTGCAATGTCCTCACTTCGTATACCCTTGAGAGGCCTCGGGGGAGGGGGCTCACTGCTGGAGAGGACACCCCGACTCCCTCCACCCCGCTCCTGCTTTCCACAGAATCAGCTTGTTGCCACCACCTGGTGCCGAGAAAGTGGAGAAGGTGATGAGAAATTGTTGAGTTCTAGATATATTTTGGAGATATCACCAAAAGGGATGTGAGATGTGAGAGTGAAAGGAGTTAAGGATGAAGAGCAGACAGAAAAAATGTTAAATAAACTGAAGGATTTCACCCAGAAAAAAAAAAAAGTGTTTTCTCATTAAGAAAGTTGACTTCCTCTTTCATGGGGGCCGCTCTGTCATCACGTGTGGGGTGCACTTTTGCTGGACAAAGTTTTCCCCTCTCAGCCAGGGTCCTTCTTCGCAGTGTCCTCTAGTAGTTAGTGTGTACGAACTCAGGGGGTGCAAACTGACTCCAAGGGAAGAGTGTTGCCAAAATAAACACGAGGTTCCTTTGTGAGCTAAAAATAACCGCTCTTGCCATCTTTGGTCACTCTCCCAGATGGTCAAGAGCCAGAGGGCCCTGGCCTAACTCCTGTGCCATGTCCTTCTTCCACCCACAGCTCGCAACAGGCAGGGAAGAGTGAGGGTCTTCATGCTGCTCCCCAGTTCCCCCTAGGATGGATGTGTGTGGCTGGAGAGAAATGGAGGTTGCTCTGGTCAACTTTGATAACTCAGACGAAATCCAAGAAGAGCCAGATTATGCCCCAGACTTTGAGCCCAACAGCCCAAAGGGCCATTCTGGCAGCGGCCCCTTCTCCAACTGGAGGATTCTCCTCAGTGACAGCACCACTCGTGAGACCACCTTCTCCAAGCTCCCAGGGGACTACGGGGGTCCCCCTGGCCCGGAGCCGGCAGCCTTGAATGAAGGAAGCCAGCGGGTGATCATCAACATTGCGGGGCTGAGGTTCGAGACCCAGCTCAGGACCCTCAATCAGTTCCCAGAGACCCTCCTGGGAGACAGGGAGAAGAGGATGCAGTTCTTTGACTCCATGAGAAACGAGTATTTCTTCGACAGGAACCGACCCAGTTTTGACGGAATCCTATACTACTATCAATCTGGGGGCAAAATCCGGCGCCCGGCCAATGTCCCTATCGATGTCTTTGCTGACGAGATCTCCTTCTACGAGCTGGGCAGCGAGGCCATGGACCAGTTCCGGGAGGACGAGGGCTTCATCAAAGACCCTGAGACACTGCTCCCCACCAATGACTTCCACCGGCAGTTCTGGCTCCTGTTTGAGTACCCAGAGAGCTCCAGCGCTGCCCGCAGCGTGGCCGTGGTCTCCGTCCTGGTCGTGGTCATCTCTATCACCATCTTCTGCCTGGAAACGCTGCCGGAGTTCCGGGAGGACAGGGAGCTCAAGGTGTTGAGGGACCCCAGCCTCAACACCAGCAAGACTCTCCTCTCCCACACCATGTTCACTGACCCTTTCTTCATGGTGGAGTCCACCTGCATCGTGTGGTTCACCTTCGAGCTGGTGCTGCGGTTCGTGGTCTGTCCCAGCAAGACCCACTTCTTCAAGAACATCATGAACATCATCGACATCATCTCCATCATCCCCTACTTTGCAACCCTCATCACGGAGCTGGTCCAGGAGACAGAGCCCAGCAGCCAGCAGAACATGTCCCTCGCCATCCTGAGGATCATCCGCCTGGTGAGGGTCTTCCGCATCTTCAAGCTCTCGCGCCACTCCAAGGGGCTGCAGATCCTGGGGCAGACGCTGAAGGCGTCCATGCGGGAGTTGGGGCTGCTCATTTTCTTCCTCTTCATCGGGGTCATCCTCTTCTCCAGCGCCGTCTACTTTGCTGAGGTGGACGAGCCTGAGTCACACTTCTCGAGCATTCCCGATGGCTTCTGGTGGGCAGTGGTGACCATGACAACAGTGGGCTACGGCGACATGTGTCCCATCACCCCCGGGGGGAAGATCGTGGGCACTCTATGTGCCATTGCGGGGGTGCTCACCATCGCCCTTCCCGTGCCGGTCATTGTCTCCAACTTTAACTACTTCTACCATCGTGAGACTGAGAATGAGGAGAAGCAAAACTTCCCGGGAGAAATTGACAAAATCCTCAACAGCCTGGGATCAAGAGCCGGCAGCACAGACTCCCTCAGCAAGAGCAATGGTGGGTGCTCAGCAGAGAGGTCCAGGAAGTGACCTGCCGGGGTCCCCATCTCTCCCCATCTCCCACCCACCAGTCTCTCCTTCTCCCCGCCTCTTTTGTGATCAATAAACGCATACTTCTGCTGTATTTTTCTAAGTTGTTTCTTCTTAACCAACGCTAGGAAGATTTTATTCTCTTTTCCTGGGCAGGGGTCATTCGGGTGCCCATGATCAGAAGTCTGGGCATCATCTGGGAGCAAGGAAATGCAGAACCTTGGCCTAAGACTGCAGACCTACTGAGTCTGCATTTTAGCAAGATCCCAGGTGACTCATGTTTGCATTACAGATGAAGACACTCTGGCATTGGTCTTCCTGAGAGGAGCGCATTGCAAGGCCACGGACTGTGCTGAGCAGTGAGTAGGCTCTCCAAGCTGTCTAATAATCACTCCTTACACGCAGGAAGCTTTGCTTGTATTTTCCAAGCCATTATCATCTACACTATCTCACTGCACCTCAAAATAACCAGTAGAGGTGCTTGGGTTACTATTCCCATATTGCAGATGGAAAAAACAGTGACTTACCTTAGGTCACCCAGAAACTATGACATAGTGGATGCTGGAACTCAAATCTCCTACCTATGAGTTTAGTTCTTTTTCCACTAATGGATGTGCTGGGGTTGGGGGTGGAAGGAGAGGAATTTCAGAACATCCTGGCGGCAGATGCTCTTCCCTACAGCCCCCGTGTGTCACTGCAGCCTGTGGAGGCAAAGCCACCCTGACTACCTTGCTCCCCAGCTCCCTCCCTGGATAGTGGGCAAGCAGGAACAGTCCCTGGCACTTCTCAGCTCCCCTTCTCCACCATTTATGCAAAGACAAGGGACCCAGAATGTGGGGCGCACACCCCACTGAAACCAAGGGTCTAATGTAAAACACAGCAGGGAAGGCTCCCACGACCTTCAGGAGGGAAGGACCTGTCAGCACCAAACTCAGACTCCCTCTGCCTTTTTGAGGAGCAGAAGCAAAGCAAACCCTGAGGCTTCATCCAGTGCGTCTATTTGTAGTAGCTCCCACTATGTGACAGATACTTACCGTCACTAATAAAGACACAGAGGAGCAAAGGCGTCTTTTGCAATATTCACAGTAAAAATGTGCAAATCATGTAAGCAAAACAACAAATACTTTCTGATGCAATTTGCAGAAGGCTTCAAATCTGGTATTTTCTTTCCCACCATGTCATGCTGACTATCTTTGCAAAGGAACTTGTTAGTGGGATCTAACTGTAGGGTTTATTTATCATACTCTTTAAAAGTTTTGTAGACTATTAACCATCAGAGTTTCAAAAAGTTCTGGATATTTTTGTGTACCACTCTCTTGATTTTGATTAAAGGAACTAGCTGGGCTTTTACAAATAATACAAAATAGCCTCAATAAGCCTCAATTTCCACAAGTAGAAAATGGAGATTGAGAAGACTTACCCAGCAATAAATGTGACCGCATTCTGCCCCCAGAGAGCAGACCCAGAGTCCTCTAGTCCTCCTCCTCACCCAACTAGCCAATAGGGTCATTCAGACCCTCCGCAGGCAGCCATAGTGGCTGCAGAGAACCTGCCCTCTAGACACGGGTCCTTTGTCACTCCCCACTTTCCTAGTCTTCTAGTTGTATTCACCCTCTTGCATCTTACTTCCAAAACTAAAAAATGGACAGAATTATACCTGCCTCATGAGGCTTTTGAGGGGAATCAACGAAGGGGTGTTATTAAAAGTAATTACGGCTGTTAAGCAGCACCAGATGAAAAGCATTATTCCTCTTTCAAAACTGTCATTCTGAGCCATTAACCACTGCCCAAGTAAGCACAGAACTTGCCTTTGCCATCCAGATGGGGACCTCAAGCAGAAGGGAAGTGATTTAAAAGACAGCATAAAAAATAGAATTAAGCCCTGGAGGTGACCACATGGCGGGGCAGACCTCTCCTGACCTGCCCGCTGCTCCCCTCAGCAGTGTACTTGTCGATCTGCCTGTTCTGCTCCCCGCTCTGTCTCTGGGGAATCCTCTCACCGCCCCTGAGCCTCTGGCCTGTACCCCAGTTCTGTATGCACAAATAAATCTTTAAAAAAAATAGAATTAAAGGTGAGGGGCTGGGAAAGTAGTTGAGCTGGGTGACATCATGTTCCCAAAGTGACTTCCTGTTCGTGTGCTTCACACAGCTCTCATTTCATCTTAAACCACCACTGTAATATAGACAGACGCGAGCTCCACTTGGCAGGTAAAGACGCTGAAGCTTCAAAAGGACAAGTAAACTCTCCCTGTGCCAGACAGTGGGGGGCTCATCACAAACACCCCAAATGATGGGAGCACAGAGTCAGCGTGGTCAGACACAGACAGCACCCTAATTGTCCCCCTGGGTGCATCCACGAGGCTGAGGCTGGAGTCTCCCTCTCCACCTGTCCCCTCCAGCCGCGCCTGGGCGAGGTCTCCTGGAGGGGTCAGTCGCTCCGCTGAGAAGCTCTGCAGATCTCAGGGCAGAGCCAAAGCAGCGTGGTCAGTGACCTGGGTGACCGCAGTGGTGGAAACTGTGTCCCGGACACCACGTCTCTGACCCCCTGGGGTCTCGACCCTGACACTTGGCTTGCCAGCCCTGGGGGCATCCCAGGACCACCACCCCACTGGAAGTTAACCAGCCCTCCATGGGGGCTGACAGGCTGCAGGGGAGGTGAGACACACAAGGGAAGAGGCCAGAATTGGGGAACCACCAATTCTGACTGTGGAGTTAGCATTTCCGGGCGGATTCACTGAATGCTGTTGTGTCTCCCGACACTGCCCTCTGTCACCTGAGAAGGAAGCAGACACAACACCCAGGACTGTGGCCTGGGTCCTCTTTCTCCAGCTCTGGACAACGCTTCCAGCCCGCTGGCCCCTAGGCTGCCCTGCTGGGGCGTAGGGAAGATTAGAAGAGGGCAAGAGACTCAGGACCCCCTCTCTCTGAAGCCTCCTGGGAAGGTCTCTGCTGGCCCTGTCTTGCAGAGGGATTTCCAGCAGACCACCCACCCCGGTCTTCAAAAGACCACCCTATTTAATAAGTCAGTGGGGACTACTCCCCACCACACCCCCACTCTGTCCAGCTGGAGCACTGGCCTCCTCCCAGGTGGCCAGGCCTCCTCCACACCAGCTGTGAGGAAGGAGTGCAGGCCCTCCCACAGAGAGGGCACCTCCTGGAGTCCTCTCCTCCAGCCCACCTTTACCCTTCCTTGTTGGGTCTTGAGGATGTGGAAAGGAGGGGACACCCCAGCCTCGCTCAGCAGCTGAATGCAGTCTCCAAAATAATAATAATAATAATAATAATCATATCCACCCATGAGGCGGAGCACTCCAGCAGCCTTTGAAGTGACAGGAAGAAAGACACCCTGTGTCCCCAGAGACCAGGCGCCTGCCCGGAAGCCCTCTGCCAGCACATCCGAGAGACAGGAGAACGTTTGCCCTCAAGCCCAGGATGAAAAAGAACTGGGGGTGGCAGGGAGCAGGGAGATGGGTAAAGGGAAGATCAGACAAACTTTTGTTATTGCATCTCAGGGGAAGCGGAGGTAAAAAGGCTCCTGCAAAATGTCACCGGATAATGAATGCTATTCGCTCCCTCCCAGGCGGCAGCCACGCGTGCGTGCGGGAGAATGACAGCCAGCCCCTGAGGGTTTCAGGTGGAGCCTCCGCTCTCCCAACCGGAGGGTCACACTGAGCTGCTCCTGACCACTCCCTGAAGCAGAGAGCAAATGATAACAGGAAATCAAGTAATATAACAGGAATAACCAATAGTACCCAGCTCCCAAAATCTTACAGTGGGAATTAATTGGCAGTATTTTGAATTTCTTTGCAAAAGATAAAGGGATCAAAACAAAGCAGGGTGGAGACAGATGAAGCCTGAGATGAAAACTCCTCTACACGGAGTTAACCCTCAAGGTCACGGCTGCACTTTTTTAATGTTATAATCGCAATTCTGTGGTGCATGATAAATACTCCGCAAATGAAGGCAGGAAAGGAGGGAGAGAGAGAGCCCAAGGCAGAAGGGACCACACTTCTCTCAGCCCCCAAATGACAGTGGCCGTGAGCCATTTACCTGCAGCGTTGGCTTGAAGTCCTTTTCTGTGGGGCTCTCTGTCCTTACTGAGAGTCCAGGCAGAAGTGATAGCTGCTAACAACCCCCAGGATACACACCGGGTGCTCATTCTTTCCTCCAATATTCCCCCAAGTTTCTGGTATGGACCAGACCCCAAAATTGACTGAGGCAACTGAAACTCCTATGAGAGGGCTCTGCCCCCTGCCTGCCCCCTCAAACTGCAGTGAAAATAGGCTTCTCAGAAAGTACCGGAACCCACCTCCTGCCTGAGGGCTGCCCCAGGACTCTGGCCCCTGATAAACTACCCACTTCCTGAGCTCTCCCTCTGAATCAGTAACAAGCCAGGTCCTCCCACTCCGTGGCACATGCAAACTCAAGGGAATCTGGCCCTGTGACCCACCCTCTGTCCAGTCCTGGGAGAGAGCTCACAGAGGTAAGGACGCAATGGAAGAAGCTCGCCGCCCACCCCAGACCCCACAACCCCCTCCCTCAGCCCCCAGGGTGCTGATCTTTTGGAAGCCAGATGGCCACATTTCCTGAGGAAGCGGAAGCCTAGGAGGGGGTCCAGTCATCCAGCACTGACACAGATTGGGGGGGGGGGGGGGCTTTTGTCAGAGAGCAGAAGGAGGAAGATGTTTCCTAAAGATAAAGCCCCAAGATGCTCCCCCTTGGGCCCCTGAAGGGGGTAGGGGCTTCTGGAGGCCCCACTACGGAGGTGAGTAGAGCCAAGGGCCCGCTCTTTGCCCTGCTTGGAACTGCGGTAAACAGGAGGCAGAGCTGAGAAGAGAAGGCTGTGGTCCATGGCCTGCAGCCAAGAATGTTGGTTATAGATGGATTTTTTTTTTTTAACCCAAATAAGTGAGTAGAAAGAACAAAGAGCTGTAGCATTCTCTTTGAAGTTGGATAAAGGGGGGAAAAGAAAGGGAAGACAAGGCTGAAAATGGTTCCTTGGAGAGGAGAGAGGGGTTCAGATGGCTTAGATTTGTTATCATTTGCTCTAA